TGTTAATGCTTTCGCCCCCGCGAGCAGATCCCCATCTTTTCCCTTCTTCTTATCGTTTCTTGAATTTTAGTTGTTGATTTTTTTTAGTTCTTTTTCCTCGAGAATCAGCGTCTTCGTCAGGGTTTTATGGTTTCAATCTTGATCTCGAGTTGAGGCGGGTTTTGATTGTTTTTGGCGAATCCTTGAAGTGAAGTCGAAGCACCACAGATTCTTGATCACCCGACGCGATCTGATGGCGGCCGTTCGGGTGACCATCGAGGTTTGGAGTCGTGGGGGTCTGTCATCACCATCTGCAATCCTCCTGTTAGTGCGTTGGCCCCGCGATTGGATAACCAATCTTTTCCTTTCTTCTTCTCATTTCTTGAATCTGAGTTGTTTTTCCTCAAGATTCGGCATCTTCTCGAGGGTTTTTTGTGTTCAATCTTGATCTTCAATTGAGTGGGGTTTTGGTTGTTGTTGGTGATTTCTTGCAAGGAAACCCTTGAAGTACAGTCGAATAACCACAGATTCTTGACCCTGTGACACCATCTAATATCTGACACCATCTGCAATCCTCCGGCTGATGCTTTGGCCCCCACGAGTAGATCCCCATCTTTTCCCTTCATCTCGTTTCTTTAAATTTATTTGTTGAGTTTAGTTTCTTTTCTTCAAGGTCGGCACCTTCTTGACGGTGTTTTTGTTGTTTTTGGTGATAGGAAGGATTCAACTATTTGTATTCTTTGGATCAGTTTGGATCTTTGGTTTGGTGCGTGCAGCTATTGCCGGCTTGAAGGAGGAGTTCACAGAAGCACTGAATAGGAGTGAGTGACGTCAAAGCAATTGTGATCGTTTCTTTTTCCTAATGCCGAGCGTTATATAAATGATTGGTCTTATCTATTCGCTGGTTTGTCGAATATGTTGCGTTATTTATGATCATTAATTTTTTACTTACTAGTTTGGCTTATTTGCTTAAAGAATAAGATAAGTCACTTAGCCTCATAGCAAAATAATTGTGAAAGTCAAACCTAGATGAGTTACAGGCTAGGAGATTACTTCTAGCATAGACTTATAGAGAGATGAACTACTCTCTGATGGTTATATCCTCCTCTTCCTTGCCGTATAGGATTTGTCCAGATATTGAGATATATCCCAGATAATTGTTGGCAAAGAACCCAGGTTTAAGCTGGCATGCTTCCGTTGCAGTTTTGATCATATATTGTGCCTGATCTCAGAATTCAGTAGTGGTTTTTCTAATGTGCTTGCTCACTAAGGTGGATTTGTAGGTTAATTGTGGTTTTAATTGCATTGTTGGCATCCTTCACTTATGGAATCTTGATTTTTGTTCCAAATAACATGTAAATTTCTGTTGGTTTCTGCTGTGGGTACTAGAAGTACTGGTTCCTAATCTGATTTATGAACACCACACACTAGGTAGGTGTATTTAAAACAATGGTTCTGTTTTCGTTGTTGTTAAACTGTACCCTTTCCTTTTTTTCACCCAGAAAACTTGGTAAACAAAAATCATATAAAGGAAAGGAAAGAATACACTGATATTTCTTTTCACACGATTGGTTGTCTGATTGTCCGGAGATTTCACGTATAGTTGGACCCTCTTGATGAGGTATGTCATTTGACATCCTGTGGTGCCTGCCATATTGGTGCATTTACATGGTCCTACACTGTGCTCTGACATAATTTTATTTCTCTTTTATATAGTCCAATTCTCTCTTTAATTTCTTCTGTTATATGCGAGGAGGGGCAAGTTTTCTGGTGGTTTTGATATCAACGTTTTTTTTCCAAAATTTGTAAAATAGGTACTGATTCACCAAGATTGTGGAATTGTTAATTTGCTTTTCGGACAATCTATTAAATAAGATAACAATATTTTGATTGGTGCAACTGCTTTAATTTGTTTTTTTTCCACTTGCACTTGGTGGTCGTCTGGAGCTAGCAATGGTTTCATCTTGACTTGAATTTACATGTCTTTTTTTTTGTCAAATGGTTTGTGTTTTATGTCCAGGGTTGCCACGCACGAGTTTCTACTCCACGAGTTCAACTTGGATTGCCAGAATCGACTTTTGGAGTTTGGAGGTGACAATTTTTCCTAGTCCTGGATCTCTTGGTGCTTGATTTGACTCCAATTTTTCCTAATTGCCAAAAGGTTTGGAAACGATGCTGGTGAGTTGATCCATACCATGAATTCAAATAATCTATTGCCAAAGGGAGATGTGAAATATTTGTTTCTTTCTATGAGATGAGAAGTTTGGTCAGCACTAAGGGTCATATTAGTGTTTCTTTCTGGTCCAGCCATTTACTCGATCTGTTGCAAATTTCTCATTTTCATATTTTTTTTACTTGTCAAATCAGAAAATTATGTATTTATCTGAGTTTTGTTTTCCCGAGGAGGTTGGTATCTGTTTTGGCCTCGAAGCAAATGAGACGTTGGCCAGGGTATCAGAAGACATTGTACGCATTTTGTAGCATTGAATACATCTTCGTGTTATGATTTTCTAAAGCTGTCCTGCAGAGCAAGCACTGGCAACAGTTTCGTCAACTGCAGGCCTTTATCTCAATAATCGGACGTGACCAGTGGTCCACTCTTCCTCTTTCCGCTCCCTCCGTCTCCCATCGCTCATCATTCGTCGTCCTCTATCATTGCCTCCTCTTTTTTTTTCCCCTAAAAAAAAAACATCTTTTGAGAAAAATTAAAAAAAAAATTATATTTCAAGAGAAATGATAAAAAAAATTCTTGAAGAAAAAAAAAATCAAAAGCAAAAATAACTTATCTCTTGTAAAAAAATAAAAACAAAACTCAAAATGGTAAAACACAACAGAAACCAATGGGATTAGTCCTTGGTAGGCCCCACAACAGAAACCAATGGGATACTAAATATTAGGCCAAATGTTCCCGCCACTATCAAGCATGAATTTAATATGCCCACCGTACGGGAAATTGCCAGTGGAACAAAAGCTCAACGATTGCCTAAATAGACTATAAACAAATGGCATTAAGAGTTACAAGTCACTTAGATTGTTGAGCAATCATAAGAAAATAAAGAGGAAGAATGTGCCTCCTTTTTTTTATTTTTTTTGACACAGCCGTGGTCAAACCTTTACAAAGGAATAACATCGTAGCAACCCAAAATTTACACTGAACCAAAAGGCACAATGGCAGATACCAATCAAGTAAAAAGACATATCCGGTACGAACATACATCAAAAGGAGGGCCAACGAACGTGCTTTGCATGAGCAAAGCAACAAGGATCACCGTGCATCATACCATGACCACCGCGACCAACATAGCATGGCTAGGCAAGGATTAACATACCAACAGCAACAGGTAATTATGGTTATCGCAGTAGTTCGGCTATATTCAAAATTATGGTTCGGTCGCATGTGCCCAAGTCCCATCAAACTAAAGCAGAACATTCTGCACTAAGTGCAAGTTTCCAAAGGTAAAGAAAGAAAACATAAAAAGGATCGCCGACATTCTTTACTAAACACATCAACATAGGAAATCAGTGAAGGATACATGATGAACCGATAACATAAAGGACCGGTGATGACCCGACAACTGTATAGTAGGATTAGCAATAAAAGAAGCCAGGACCGCAGCACTTTAAACTTATGTCAAATAGATCCGATGAATAAAAGAAAGACAAGGTAACTAAAATAAGCAAATTGCTAATTATCAAGTGATGATGTAAAGAATTAGTGCTTCACAGCTATCTCATCTAATGAATAATTGCTTTATTAGTTCAATTACAAACCCATCAAAACACTTGCTACATCTAGATTCAGAATTCAACTCCGCCTTTTTCTTGCTCGCTTTAGTAATCAGTCTTTTCTAGACCACTATCCCTTTCACCCCATTTGAGCTCCTTTCTTACCCTCTTTTTTCTTTTCCTTTTGGCAAGAAAAAAATACAAGCCTAAATTCTCTAATTTTCTTTTACCTCGACTTGGTACCTAACAACTTAAATGATTTGCCTAAATCTCTCATCTTTCTCCCTAACCCTAAACCTCTCAGCTTTGTCCTTTTCTAGTTTCTTTCTCAAATGATTTGCCTCTATTCTATTTCGGGTCAAGAAAATCTAAAACCCAGAACTTCTCAGCTATCTTGATTGACACAGGAGAGATGGCACACTACGATCAAAACTATAATCAATAATAAAAAGGCTAAATCTCAGCTTTATTGTCTCTCAACTCTGCCATCTAAACTCATAAACAGAGAAGCACAACAATCTTCAAAACCCTAAGTGTCACAAGCAGATTTGTCCAACTACATCAAAGACCTGAATAGAACCCCAAGATTCTCGAGACAGGAGAAGGTGATAACCGAAACATCGGAAAAGTTTTAACCATTTTCAAACTTTTGAGCAACAGAACACGACACCTCTCGGTTTCCTGAATCTTGACTCCACCATCTATAACACAGAAGCAGTGAAGAACCCTAGTTTTCGCAAGCAAATTCGTGTGCAGAACAAATACTGAGTACCAGAAGCGAACCCCAAGAGTCTTGAGGCACAAGAAAGCCATCACCAAGAGCGAATGAGACACAATCAAGAACTCAGGAGCAACAGAAGAAGAGATATCGCAGCTTTCTTGGACCCCGATTCCACCATCTACAACTCAGAAGCAGGGGAAGAACAAGAACCATCGAAACCCTTGTTTTTCCAAAGCAAATTCGTCTAACGAACTACAATGAAAACCAGAAGCGAACCCCAAAAATTCTTGAGGCACGGGAAGGTGATAACCGAAACACACGGAGCGTCACACCAAAATCAGGAAGCCAAACTCCATCATCTACAACTCAGAAGAGGGGGAAGAACAAGAACTACAATGAAAGCCTGAAGCAAACCCCAAAAATTCTTGAGGCACAAGAAGGTGATCATCGAAACACACGGAGCGTCACACGAAGATCAGGAAGCCAAACTCCATCATCTACAACTCAAAAGAAGGGGAAGAACAAGAACCATCGAAACCATCTACAACTCAGAAGAAGGGGAAGTACAAGAATCATCGAAACCCTTATTTTTTAAAAGCAATTTCATCTAACGAACTACAGTGAAAGCCTCAAGCGAACCCCAAGATACTTGAGGCACAAGAAGGAGATCACCGAAACACACGAAACGGCACACCAAGATCAGGAACAAACTTGAAGCTGAACTCCGTCATCTACGACTCAGAAGCAGGAGAGCACATAAAACATCGAGACCCTTATTTTTCTGAAAGCAAATTCGTCTGACGAACCACAACGAAAATCTAAATCGAATGAAATCCCAGGATTCTTGACGCACAAGAAGGTGAACAGCGAAACACACGAAACGGCACACCAAGATGAGGAACAAAATTGCAGCCAAACTCCATGAACTACAACTCAAAAGCAGGGGAGGATAAGAACCATCGAAACCCTAACTTTCCAGAAGCAAATTCGTCTAACGAACTACAACCGAGACTCAAAGCGAACCCCAAGATTCTTGAGGCACAAGGTGACAACCGAAACGCATGAAATGACACTCCAAGATCGGAAACAAAATTGAGGCCAAACTCCATCATCTACAAATCAGAAGCAGGGGAGCACAAGAACCATCGGGACACTAATTTTTCGCAAGCCAACTCGTCTGACGTACTACAACGAGGGCACGAAGCGAACACGGAGGTTCTTGATGCACAAGGAATAGATCAACATAGGAACCCGCGCACCACTACGAAGAACACACGACAAACGGGAGAAGGCGTGGGGGGCGGAGGGGTGGGAGGCGAACTGAACCTTGGGAGTGGTCTGGCAGCGGCAAGAACGAGGCGGATCTGGCGAGGAAGAAGCCTTCCAGGCGAGATCTCGAGGCAGCGAATCGCGAAGGAGGCCGCGAGTTTTTGAACCGTGAGCGAAGTGGCGCGATTGATCCGGCTTTTGTAAGGGCGCCCTTCGGCACCAGACTCCCGTGAGAGCAGATCTCTTCCGTCCATTTTAGCATGATCATTAATCTTTGATCGCTGATCCCTACAAGCCTTTTTCCTGTGTCTTTACGTATTGTCCTTGAAAAAGTTCCAAAATTACATACTTGCCCCTAACATCTCAATGTGTAATTCATCCTTTTTTTTTAAAGATATCGGTTTCCTTCAAAAAGGAAAATATTTATCCAAAAAAACTCTGTAATACTTAAATATTTTCGATATTTGCATCAGCAAAGGGTATATTAATGCCAATAGCACCTCCATTTTAATGGTAAGCTGCTGAGATTTACTAAAGGGTTTTAAGTTTTACCACAATATTATATATATATATATATATATATATATATATATATATATATATATATATATATGTATGCATACATACATATACACACAAATATACGATGGATAAATATAAAATGCACTGTATATTATTTGGAAGACAACTTATTTTGTAGCTAACCTCATCAACAACATTCTAAAGATGGATAGCTGACCTTGAATTTAATCTCCTAATTGCATTTTTTGAGACCCTCCAATGAATCATTTATGCTTCCCCTTCACTTCATCACTCTACACTGAAAACAAAAGTTGAGTATTTGTTAAGACATTTTCATTAAAATCGATTTATGACCACTGAAACAAATTTTCATTAACATCGAATCCTTCTTCAACACTCTGAAATAATACACTGCCGAAACAATAACAAATCGATGTTCCGGTTACATAGACCTTTACTATGAGAATCTTATAGAAAACCCTTTTTCAGTGACCAACATGTCCATGCTGCCGAATTCATCAAGGTCGGAATCTGATTCTGTTTCCTGGTAAGTAGCCCATTCTCCTTGAGAGCTGTCATTCGGTTCGTCTCTCGAGGAAGGAACTCTTAGTGAATTTACAGGAACAGGTAAAGGTTCCTCAGCGAAGTAGCGATCATGGAGTGTCTCTGTTGCAGTAGCTCTATTTGCAGGGTTATAGCAGAGAAGCCTCTTGACTAGATTAACTTCAGAGGCCGACCTGTTTGGCAGGCATGCTTCCAGACCAATTGGGTTCTCAACCTTATTAAAGAAGATCTTGTTGTAATCAGGTAAGTTTGAGCAACCTGGCCAGGCTTCTTCAGTCGGGTTTCCCAAGACACTGATGATTCTTCCAAGTTGATCGATGTCAGATGTTCCTGGAAACAAAGGCTCTAAATTCAGAAGCTCTGCAAAGAGGCAGCCTAGTGACCAGAGATCTATCTCTTGCCCATAGTCTGTAGATCCGTAAAGTAGCTCAGGTGCTCGGAACCATCGTGTTCCAACACACGAAGTGAGGGCACCATATTCATCTGCTCCACCTTCTTCTGCCTCGCACGAATAGGAACTTTTGAAGGGATCATCTTCTACGTCACCTGTACCACATGTGGCTAGACAAGATGCATCACAATCCTGCAAACTCGTCTCATTATCGGTGTCATACATTGCATTTTTTGTCTTGGGGCTATCCAACTCCCTCAGAGTGTCGTCTTCGTTTGCAAACCGGGTCTCTTGAAAATTTTGGTGCTGAGGCATGAGCTCTTGGACAGTTTGCTGTTCAAGTCCAACAGGCCAGGACATATATCCCTGTTGTTGAGGTATCCATGTCCCATTCTGCAACACTTGCTCATTTTCTATGGATATACATCTTGTTTCTTGTAGGATCCTCGACTGTCAAGACAACGATATACATGTTCAGAAATTCCTAATAAATAAATCCCACAAAATGATAGCTAAAGCATATGTTAACTTAGAGCAGAAATAATGAAATGGGAGAAAATAAAACAATAAGGAAAGAAACCATGGATACACTAAGCCCCCACCCTTCCCATAGCTGATCTGGCATATACCAGCGTCCTAATGTTTCAGTACACCAGATTTGTGCTGGTGCAATATACCATATATTAAAGTAAATCATCAGAATTTACTTCATCTGACAGAAATAAACTGTAACCAAATTACAGAAAATTTTGTGATGTCAGAGTACACGAAGATCAATTACATAAAGTCATCACAAAAAACTTCATTAAGAATGCATGGATCACTAGAGAAAGTTTCCAAGTTGCATAAGAAAGAAAAAGGGAGACATGGTTGTTCAATGGTCTGAGTACGTCCTCACTGTAAAACTAGTTCACACATATGATAACTGCCAAAGTGAAGCAGTAATCCAAAATCATAATTACCAAAGATTATCATGAGAAGCCAACATAATTTTACAAGCAAATGTACCAGGTCTTTGTCCGTACATGTCTTATTGTATCCTATCCGGGTAAAACTAACACCTAAAATAGGAATTACAAGACTAAAGAAGGCATCATTAGAAATCACATGCAGCTGCTAAATCAGGAATCGATGACTAGTTCGTGTTTCTTATACTATTCAACACTAACTATCTCCAAGAAAGAGCATGCTAAATTCAATAATACCAGTCACCTTTAGCCATCATAGCTGCAAAATAAGAGCATTATCCAACAGAATTCTGGAGTTTAAGTGGATCTGCAAATGTTCCTCCTCAACTGTAACATTCTGTAGTCTATGTGTCCATACAACAGAGATACAAGTACGCAACAACCGTCAACCAAGGATGTTCATGCCAGGCTCTGGATTAACTAGCATGTTATGGCAGCTCAGGGAATGATGTTGTACCAATATGCTCAGAACACTCATCAAAATGTGGGCATGTGACTATTTTTTCTTTGTTACATGTGAACAACCATGACTTTGGTACATTGCATTGTGAATATCATGTGTCATCATGCTCGAATCTTCGTATTATGCCAACTTTACATTCAGAACACCATATTTGAACATCAATGATGGACTTGGATAGTGCCCATGATAAGAAGAAAGCTAGAAGATGCAAGAGAACATTTTAGGAAATAGGAAAATTGAGAAATCCATTTAAAGAAAGGACATGACAAGAAAATTATGGCTTCTTAACAAACACAAAACTCAATTTAGTAGTCTGCAAGGATATTGTCTGGCACTAATCATCAATGATGGACTTGGATAGTGCCCATG